GCTTTCATCAATACATTGTCAATTGATTGCACCCCCTCTAGTCAATTAATCAGCCTCGTCCACGGAGCGAGATTAGCCGAGATCTGCCGAGACTCGCCGAGATCGCGATGCGCCGAGATTACGCGAGATTACTCGAGACTGTGATGAGCCGAGATTACCCGAGGTCGTGATAGCCGAGATTACCCGAGCTCGACCAGCCGAGATTACCCGAGATTACTCGAGATGAATCCTCATGCGCGATATCAGCCGAGATCAGCCGAGATCACCGAGATTAGGCGCGCGCAGCGCGGGACGAGTCCCTCCTGCGCGAGATCGCCCGAGATTACCGAAGAGCACCCGAGAGCACCCGAGATAAGGACCGCGCGCACACACGAGCTGTCCCCTGCTTGCCGCGCCGCCGCCCGCCGCCCACTCCGTTGGCACGCCGGGCAGCACAGCGGCGGTCGTGCCTCTCTCTGTGGGGCGGCCGCCGCTGTGCTGCGCCCCCGTCGTACACTCGTGACTCGACGGTAAAAGGGCCGGGTGCGCGGGGCGGCCCCGGGGTGCGCGCGTTGCCCGAGTCGGGCTCTTGGCAGAAAATTCCATGTCATTACTATTCATGTCAGTGTGGGTCCGCTCACTCCCCCGAGACGCGAACTTAGACGATTGCGCCGAAAAAAGTAGACACGTCGCCCGAACAGACGCACCCAGACCGTCATACACCAATGAAGCGGCTCTGTGTCCGGCTCTCGTAAACGCGACACGAGAGGTGTGATACATTCGTCGGCGGGACCGGGTGCCCCGCGCCGTATTCAAGGCGCGAGCGTGGAGAGCAGCACACGCCCGCAACGAGCGGGAGCCGAGAGATCGCCGAACAACGGTTCGTGGTGCGCACGCACTGCACAGCTGCGGGTTGTAACTCGACTGCCGATCGCGCGTGCGTGATGTGGACGGAGATCGCTGGCGCCAGTGCACGGCAGCGCCGCCTAGTGGATCGGCGGGAAGGGAGGGGCAGGCGTTAATCGACGATCTGAGGTCGCTGGGGTGGATCCAATAATAATGATTCCGCGCACACCTGGAGCGTGCCGCAGCGAGGCGAGCGGCTTCGACGGATCGAGCGCCGTGCCGGCAGCCGCAGCCCGAGACGGCGGCGCCGAGGCGAGTCCGTTCTAGCGGTGTGGGTGCGGCGGAGCGGATAGCGCCGCCGACGAGCGTGTCTTGAGAGTGGCGTGCAGCCGGTGCAGCGACGTGCAGCGAGTGTGCTCAGCGGTCGCCGTGCACAGCTCGCTGCGGCCGTGCGCCGATATAGCTGTCGGCGCTACGGAGCGGCGCAGGGCTGGGGAAGCAGCAGGAGAGCCGGCGAAACCCAGGATAAAGGCACGGCAGCGAGGAGCAGTGGTAAAGAAGAAAAACTTCGTCTTCTTTCTTTCTTTCTGGTTCGAAGAGGTGCAACGCGGTGCCCCTTCCACCGCCGCCCTTTCCTCTTGGTTTCCCAGAGAGAGCCGGGCTTCGCTTACAACTTCGCCGGGCTTCCATTTAACGGCGGCTCTGAAAGGCGGCGCCGGCGGGCCATTTCATTCGCCCCAAATCGGGGGTGGCAAAAACCACCCCCGATTTCGGCATGATGACCCCAAACCGACCCAAACCGGGGGAAAAGAAGCGGAAAACAAGGGGGGCGGGTGAAGGGGGGAGGGGGAAGGGGGGGAGAGGGGGGGGGGGGGGGTGAAAAATAAAAAAACAAGGGGAATGGGGAGAGGGTGATGGCGCGTGGGTTTGAGCGTGCCCTATACGCCCAGAATTGGGCGGTGCCGACTTTTCTTTTTCTGTGAGAAAAAGAAATACGCCGGCCTCAGCAGGGCGGGAATTACCCACCATGGCCAAATCACGAAAACGGGGATCTGGTGCACACCAACAAATAAATCTCTCTCTCTCTCTCTCGCTCTCTCATGCGCACGAATTTCTTTTTCGTGGGACCGCCAGAGGGTGGGTTCGGACACGCGCGCACTCACATGCCCGTTGCAAGGCGAGCCGCCCAACCGACTAAGGTCCAAGCCCTCTCGACCGACACCAACCCCCCGCCCCGCGACCCATACCCCCCCCCCCCTTCTCCACCCCCGCGCCCGCGACGAGAACGCGAAGGCGGTGCACTTCGCCTTCGTCTTCTTTTTTCGCTGCTTGCTTGGAGCACTTGGGCCGCGTGTTTTTCTTTTTCGCAAGATGCAAACCAACCGCGGTTGGTTTGCATCTATTTTGGCGCGAATCTCAAGCCGCCCGTCCACGCGACGGCGCCTTTGTCGTCGGACCCCCAAAAACCATGAAAACCAGGTCAATCGTCTATACAACTTGAGATCCCGAGCGAGGACCCGTCGGCGAAACCCCAGCCGCGCACAAAAGACGCAATCCTTTTGGTCTTCCCCGTGCTGTTCGACCTTCCCCAGCCACCGTGACACCGAGGACTCTTGCGCGGCCGGAACCGTTTTCCGACGGCGCCAGGCGTCTTGCACAGACTGCACTTATACCGCGCTGATCTGCGCTGCTCTGGCCGAGCCGGCTGTGAGAGCGGTGCCGCCTTCGAGCAGCCAGCGCTCGAGCGTTCGACGTGAGAGTAGCGGTCGAGCTACAGCGCGGTCTCGACTGCGTGCGCGCCGGTGCGAGCTGTCGACGTGCGCCACGGTGCCACTGCGCGATATGGCATTAGTCTGCTCTGTCCACCATTAATCGTGTCGACTATCTAACGCGCCATCTCGCACTGCCCTCTGCCTCCGCTGCCAGCACTGCTCCACTGTACAGCGAGGCGACGTGTGCAAGCAAGCACGGTGCTCGGTGGCGGCCGGGTCGCAAGGTAGGGAAGGTAAGGTAATATTTAAGGGAAGGTAAACATCTCCACACACACAAAGTGGTGGGGCAAGGGGGGGCGACCCTCGCATCTCCACACCCGGACACGGGCAGGAGCCCCACGGCTTTCAAAGTGCAAGCACTGGCCCGGTGCACGTGCGACGTGGGTGAGCTCAGAGCGCCGTCCACCACGCACCAGCCTGCCCCTCCCTCCCGACAAACACTCCAACTCCCGCACACACACAATCGCACTCTGGCCATCGAGTGACTCCGAATGACTGGCCGGGTCGTTCTGTGAGTATGGAAATGTCCCCCAAAAGCGTATCGCGAGATCGTTGCAGCTCCGCAGCCAGCGCGGGCTGCCGGGACGCGGCCCGCTCGATGCACTGGTCAAACTATTAGCCTCATAATGAGGAAGGTGCTCATAGCGATTTCAAATAGTGCTACTATTAGCTCAGAGGGGCTAATAGTGCAATTATTAGGTGTGCTAATAGCCGATGTCCTAATAATGGACCCTCATAATGCGCACTTAGCGATTTCGCGATTCATGCCGCATGCTTCACGGCGCGCCCCGGCCTAATAGCTGGGCCTCATAGCGACATGCGTCATGCCGGCCACGGAGCTCGTCGCGCCCATGCCGCCATCGGCGCCCGCTGACCATCTGGCGTGCAGCGAGAAACCCTCTGCGAGCTGGCGCCAGCGTGGTGGTTTGGCGGCGTGCGGCGCAGCGCTGGTCTTCTTGGCGTCCATCCACGGTGATCGCGGATCCGGCGAGAAGCCTTGCGCTGCCATCGGTCAAGGCGCAGCTGGACGAGACGATGCGAGAGGAAGGCCGGCGGCTTTTCGAAGCGCAGCACGACCTGCGGCGCCCGGCGCGCTGATGCCGACCACTGCAGGGTTTGTTGTCGACGAGTACCCCTTCTGTTTTTCTTGTTTGACTTGGCGATTTGAGAGTCGCGCACAGCACACTGGCCAGTTGCTCCTCGCTCGCTCCCCGCTCGCCTCGGTGACCTGTCGCCCACCAGCGCGCGGCGACCGCGCGCACACCACCAGCGCGCGGCGACCGCGCACACCGCGCCCGCCGGCTCTCCGCCCTCCTCACCACCCGTCGGCGCTGTCCGCAGGCATGTGAGGCGGAACGGCGACCGCACAGCGCGCGCGGGTGTGGAGAACGTGATCAACCGCCGGGCTTCGGCCCCTCGCCGGCGCAGCGCCGGCGAGGTCCTGGGTCATCCCCGGGCGGCGGTCCGGGCGGCAGCAGATCTCTGCGCCGCCCGCATCCTGTTCGTGATCAGGGCGTGCGCAGTTTGAAATTGCAAGGTCCGAGCGCGCGCCCGCGCCCGCCGCGCCCCGCACGCAGCCACATCCTGCGTTCTGCGGCGGCAGCGGCCTTATCTCTCTCTCTCCCTGCTCTCCCAAGCCGTGCGCACCGTCGCCGCGCGCGCGCGCCGCCGCAAGCTGCCGGGCTGACGCTCGTCCCCGTGCCCCTGTTGCGCAGGCAACACCCGCGCTCGTGCGGACCGCACGACCAGCTTCCTGCTCGCGCCGCCCTCGCTGTGGCCCGGCGTCTCCGCCGGCGGCTGGTGCGTCAAGGTGATGAAGAGCACCACCAAGCCTGACGTCACCACGGTCAAGTTCAACGACTCCACGGTGACCTTCTCGTTCGCCGTGGTTGCCTCATGGAAGCCCGTCTCCTAGAGAGTCGGCGCCATCGCTCTTGCCGCGCCGCGCGTAGTGCGCGTCGCGCGGGTACCGCACTATTAGGGCACTATTAGGGCCACTATTAGGCTCTCATAGTGCCCTAATAGCGCCCTAATAGTCGCTATTAGCCCATCTCATAGTGGTGTTCTAATAGCTCCAGACGTTATGAAGCTCAGCTATTAGCCCCTCTGAGCTAATAGTAGCACTGTTTGAAATCGCTATGAGCACCTTCCTCATTATGAAGCTAATAGTTTGACCAGTGTGGTTCGGGCTACCTTCGGCGCAGCACCCGCTGTCAGTGGGACCGACGGGCGGGGACGGCATAAGCGACGGAAATGCCATGCTCGTGACTGAAGGCTACGGCCCCGTCGTGACTAGCCCCGTACACGCCGCCTTCGTGGGGGCGCGGAAACACACCAATAACACGGCGGAGCTGTCACACAGCGCTTGCGGAACTCTTTTTCGCTCACTACTTCACACGGCACCACGACCAGCAGGCTCACGAGGGGTGGTCCGAACGGACAGCGAGTACGCGATGGCGTGTGCGACGGGAAGAATTTCCCCGGGGGAGAACGCACAACTAGCGAGCTATCTTCGAGCAGCGTGGCGACGTTTAGCGTCGAGGCACGAAGTGACATGCACCTTGTGATTTCCTTTGGGTCAAAATCGTCCCGATTTCATAATGTTCGTTCGTACGTGCATCCGCGGCGCCCAGCGCGGTGCCAGCGGCTCCCATACCTCTAAGAGGCCACCCACCTCCGTATAGACCCTTATATCCGCGGTTTACGCCCAATAGAGGCAGCTGCAAGAGGGCCCGGACGGGCACTGCGGCACACACTGCTCGCTGCTCGGCCATGCGGTAGCGTCTGGTGATGCCGCCCCTGCGCGGGCGGGGGCGTCTCGCTCGGCAGCAACTGCGCCGCGCAGCGCAGGTTCGAGGGTCGCGGTGGGTGGGTGCACTGGAAGACGTAGCGGTCGAGAAAGCGCTCAGCGACCGCTACGTCTCGAGGATGGAGCCGTCGCGCGGACCCGACCGGCCGACCGGCAGTAGCAGCAGGCGCCGGAGGGCGCGGGAGGCAGCGGCGACACCTCGGGCCAGAAGCGCGAGCCCTAGGCTGGTGAGGGGGCCCGCTCATGCGTAAACGGCTCTGGGACTTAGCTAAATCGCGCATCGAAATCGGGACGATTTTGCCACATGGCACCGTCACAAGGTGGAGACACGTCAAGGGACACAGTGGTCATAAGTGGAACGACTATGTCGAGAAGCAAGCTGACCTCGGCAGGAGCGGCGCGAGGGATTGCGGCGCGCCGGAGTGGCAAGACGAATCTATCCCAACGGACGCAGACGACGGGGACAGCAGCACCGTGGGCGACGACATGCCTATCAACGGAGGAGGTACAGTCATCCCACTCGACGACATCGGTGATGGGGCCTCCAGCAACGCCGATGACCCACCCGACTCCCCGCCGTAAGCGAACCGCCGACTAGCGCCCCACCCTCGCCGCCTAAAGCCCCAGCCGTGGAGCAGGGAGTGATATGGATTTCATACACGCCGAGCGCGCAGGCGCGACACATCGGAGACAATAGGGGGACCCGGCGTGAAAGAGCTATCGACATTGACCTTGACCCAGCCGATTCCACCGATGTCGACGCCATCACGGGGGCGGCGATTGCATTCCCATGCCGGCTCTCCGCCACAACCCCCGCCGGGAGGGAATCCCTGCTCACAGAAAAGGGCTCCGAGCCCTGTCTCGTGCACGCCCCTGACGGGCGCCGCGGACCTGTTCCGCGAGCGCTCGTCAGCGGGTGGTGTGCGGTCCTTGCCGTAGTTCCTCTTCGGTCGCCTAGCCCCGGCGCCGTCTGTCGGACGCCTGCGTGTCACGAGTGCGAGCCGCTCGCGGTTCGTACGCCCGCTTGCGGGTTCGAGTGGCGGGCCATCCCGCTTGCGGGATGGCTTAGCGGGTTCGAGCCGTCACACATTGGCTGCCGGGGTGTGCCGAGGGGGGGCTGGGTGGGCGGTAAGCCGTCATTGCCCGGCGCTGCTTGCAGCGCTCTGGGTGGTAGTGGCGGCGCTCCAAGAGTGGTGCTCTTGGGAAGAGGTTCCTCCTTTCCGCTCCCCCCCCGCAAGGCGCGAGACACACTGGCACTAACGTAACACAGGTCACACGGGAGCCGCGTTGGACTCTCTCTATAAGAAGGGAGAAGGGAGTGAGTCACCGAAGCGGGGGCTCGACGTCGATCGCTTTCTTTGGTTTCGCGCCTCCTGCTTCGGTGGTTGGACTCTCTCTATAAGAAGGGAGTGAGTCACCGAAGCGGGGGCTCGACGTCGATCGCTTTCTTTAACCCAAGTTTGACGAGCCGAACTTGGAGCACTTGGAGTGCAGTCATCAACCGCACATCCAGGGCCGGGGAGCTCAGAAGCGCACCCAGCGGGCCGGATGATTGGCATCGGGTTGCGGGCAAGAGAGCCCTAGCCCTGGGGGTGCGCGTTCGCAGGGAAAGGGCCGTAAAGTAAATACGGGTCTCCGAGGGTTAGCCCCGCGTACCGGGTTTCCCCTTAACTGCAGGACGCCCCCTCTACCACTCACTTGCGTAGACGTTCGAGTAGACCCCCCCGCCTGAGGGCTCACCCCTCGCCTTCCCAGGGTCCCGACTCTCCCTGATTCGTTCTCTTGCTCGTCTCCCGAGCGTTATGCGACGACCGGTATATGGTCGTTTCCCTCGTTGTTGGTGCCGCTTTCTTCGCTGCCGCCTTTCGTCTTCGCCGGCATCTCCCGGCTCCACCGGTTCCGAGAGTATCGACGGCCCGGCCGAGGTTTCCCCGGGCGAGGGCGGTGGCATAGGGTCGCGTCGCCGCCCCGCCCAGGGAGGTCGGGCCGGCTCTCCCTGGTCAACGAGCCGCGCCCGCATCCGCGGCCTCTCTATCGAAAAAAAGAAAGAAAGAAAACACACAACAACCCAAGGGAGGGATGGGGGAACGGCACGCCTCTCTCTCGTTCTCGGCTCGCGCCGCCTGGAGGAATTTTTTCTGGTTGCTGCTGCCGGCGCTTGGTTTCCGCGGCGGCTTCGGTGCGTCGCCGTTCCCCGCATCGGATTGAGGGCGCCGCCGCGGGTATGGTCAACTCCTGCGGCGAGGATCCTGCGGCCGCAGGAGTTGGAGTTGACGGTGGCGGCAGCGGTTGCCCCGGCTCAAGCGCCACCGCCGTCAGCACTGCCGCAGCGCAGCAGCTCGCCGCGCAGGAGGACTTGCTTGAGCTACCTCCTGGCTCTCTGCGGACGCCGCGTGGCGCACCGGTCGAGTTTGCGAGGCTCAAGGACCTGAGGTGCGCGCCGCACCAAGCCGACAGCCCGCCTCTGCCAACCGCGAGAGGCCGCCAACCCTCCTCCGCGCCTCGGCCTCATCGCCTCGTGCCGTGCCGTGCTTCCATAGGGAGAAGGGGGCGGGCGAGTTCTGCAAGGTGTGCGAGGGGAGCCTCGATGTCGATGGCGCCGACTCGCGCCCTCTCCGCGCCACCGAGACGCTCTACCGGATCACCAGCGCCGTGTGTGAGTAGGGACGGGGTTGCGCCGAGTCGCCGTTAAGATGCTCAAGCCAAAGTACGAGGTGAGCGTGCTCCTGTGCACCCCCCCCCCCCCGCACACGGCCACTACCGCCACCGCCAAAGCCCTCCCTCCGCTCGCCGCCCCACTCTCCCTCTCCCGCTCGCTCGCCGCTGCCCC